CGCCCTGACAATGGGAAAACACATCGGAAAATCCAATGAACTTTCTCGGCCAATGCAGGGATCGAACACGCGACCTCCAGCGAGCCAGCGTCTTACCCACCGTGGGCCCCGTGCTGCAGCAAACAGGCTAATGAAGATGTATATGGCCATGTGCTGTAAGGGACATTTTGCCCGGGCAGCTACATTTCCGCCTGCTCACCGAATTTCATCTGTCATGGATTCTTTTACGTGCACACCGACGTGCACACATAACCTCTGTTTTTCATCCTATCTACCCTGCAACACTGACAAGAGGAAGCCACGCTGAATCCCGTAGGACTTTTATTCGTTAGTTAGTTAGCGCCACCGTAGCTCCTGCAGTACCAAAACCACAGAAAAAACAAAACAAGAAATTAATTCTGAACATTTGAAGCGAAACTATTACTAGTAAGGCTACTATGAATATAAAATACCCAAAAAATGCCCCGAAGGTATAATTGAACTTTTGTTTATCAAACAATGGTACAATGTAAAACATTTTAAGTTTGTTTTTTATTTAGAAAGAATATGATGATCGCCATCATTAAATACTGTCCCCGCCCCATAGGTGTATTGCAAAGAGAGTCACGAATGGTGGTTGAGCCGCATGGCGCTGTTCTGTCGATTAAAATATCTCGGGTTCTTATCCTGGCGCGAGCCAGGAAAAACCTTCAAGCCCGGATTTCACTTTTCAGGAGTAACGCCTTTTCGGCAGACACGGGAAGTGTGTCTGGCAGAATATATCTGTCGTCAAAAAGGTGAAATGCTTTATTATTTCCATGAGTGTAACCTCGTGGATTAGCATTAAGATATAAGGTCTCTCCTTCTACTAAAGATGTACACTGCATTAGTCCTGCATTAGTCCTGAGGGGGAACACGGTGGCTCAGTGAGTAAGACGTTGGCTGGTAATTCCGGCGTGGTTCTGTTAGTGGTGTAGGGCGGAGTGCCTGGCAAGACACAACGTATAATAAACTATAACACATACTTATGGAAGAACAATTACTGATTTATTTGGGCGACGTTTCGAAGAGTATTCTCTCAACGTTTTCAAGCTTTACTGATTTATTTGGGCGACGTTTCGAAGAGTATTCTCTCAACGTTTTCAAGCTTGAAAACGTTGAGAGAATACTCTTCGAAACGTCGCCCAAATAAATCAGTAATTGTTCTTCCATAAGTATGTGTTATAGTTTATTGCTCTATCCAGTTACTAAATGCCTCTAAAAGATCACACAACGTATAGTTGTTCGGATGGGACGAAAAAAGAGGTCCCGTGTAGATATTGGCTAGCACGTAAAATAATCCTGGATAGTTTGAATTTAATGAAGAGCAGCTGTAAACATTGTTATCCAAACAAAATCCTCCCACCCATTGCACAAGTAACTATAGAAACGAATAATACCAAATTGTTGCTTTGACGAGACAAAAACCCAATTCCAAATCCGACCCAAAATAAAACAATCCCGAGCCAAACTAAAACAAACCCGACCCAAACACCCTTAAACTTACAAGGTATTATGGACGCACGGCATAATAAACTTAACGCTGTCTGTCTACAACTAGCTCCGCTTGAGAACAGGGCCCTGTTTCTCGAAATTTTAACTAAAGATAAAATCCAATTTTAGTAGATACCTAAATTTTGATTGGCTAAGCACTAAAATCAATCTAATATTATCCAATCAAATTACTAAAATTTGGATTTTATCTTAGCTAAAATTTCGTGAAATAAGCCCCAGATACTAAGCTAGTTGACCGACATTTTAAGTCCGACATCGACGTATTTAGTCGAAAACACTAAGAATATTTTGCGAATTTTGAGAAGTATATATTCTGCTTTCATTAAAATTGGACAGGTTTAATTAATTTTTTGTGAATTACAGATGTGAACCGGAAAAATGACCGCATTACAAAACAATATATTAATTGTTGGATATGGCGGCCATTTAGGGCAGAGATCTGTTCGCGAAGTAGAGTAAATAGGTCTCTGTCTCCATGGGATACATGGTTTAAAAAGATTTTTGTTCTGTCTGATTGGGGGGACAACGTGGCTAAGTGGGTAAGACGCTGGCTCGCTAGCCTGGAGGTCGGGTGTTCAATCCCTGCATTGGCCGAGAGAGTTCATCCAGATTTTCCGGCGTGGTTCCCCCTTGTCAGTGATGCAGGACGGAGGGCCTGACAAGGACAGCTGTCTAGTCCTTCGGATGAGACGAAAAACCGAGGTCCAGTGTATACATTGGAATGCACGTAAAAGATCCCTTGGCAGTTGGAATTAGATATAAGAGTAGGCGGTAGTGCCGCTGCCCGGGCAAAATTTCCCTCATAGCACACTGTATGGCGTATGCCCGTCTTCATTAGCCCAGGTTAGGAGCAGAACAGTAGGACGTTAAACCCCATTTCATTTCATTTCATTTCTGTCTGATTGGACAATAACTCGAGTTATTTATGGTGTTTGAGTCTGCGCGTTACTAGTGTTAATCAGCCATTCGGTATTGACAGTAGTAATTAGGTTAGTTCCAGAAGATATCACCATGCACAACAACTAAACAATTATATAAAAAAAAATTCGGATGTTATATACCGCACTGAAACAATTACATCACGTGGGATTAAAACGTCGACATTTTACAAAGGTCATTTCGAGACTAACAATGGTCACACGGGGATTGGTCGGCCGAATGGTTAACGCGTGTGCGTTGCATCATAAGATCTGTCATTGGGTCAAGTTGCGCCGTTTCGATTCCCCGCCTGTACGTGACAAGGAGTACGGTCACCTGTCAAACATCGTGGGTTTTCTCCAGGTCCTCCGGTTTCCTCCCACTGCTAAAGACCCCTACGCGCAAGCGAATTATTGAAATTAAATACAACCATATGTGAGTCCCGCGTGTAATGTGAGCGAAGTCAGGGAGAATTTCTTCCGTTAGTGGCTTTCCTTTGTCTGCGGTGCAGGACGGAGGGCCTAACAAGAATCTATTAGTTCCTTCATAGCGAGAGAAAAAGATGGGATTTAACGTCGACTCGATACAAACTATGTCATTTGGTTAACATGTTGTCTAACTTGTGGTTCATTTTTTTGTTAATCATTCGCTTGATTAAGCAGTGGGAGGAAACTTGATGACCCGGAGAAAACCTACGAGGTTGGACAGACGACCTTAATCACTGTCACGTACAAGCGGGGGATCGAAACCACGCCACTTGACTGAATGACAGACCTTGTGATCTAAAGCACACGCGGTAAACCATTCTTCCCCCCAACATAGCACATTGCACGGCGTGTGTCCATCTTCATTATACCGGTGGGTACAGAACACCTTGTCTATCTTCCTGGAGTCACATTTTTGCTCATGTTCCTGAAGCAACGACCCACACTGATCCGTAGTGAATATTAGCTAGGCCGCGACAATCACTGATAAGGATGATATTGATGCGACCTAATGAGCCACAAATATTAACTTTTTTCCTTCGACAAATTAAATTCTAAAACATATTTTTTATGTATTAGAAAAATAAATAAAGATGTTTGAAGTATTTGTGGGTAAAAATTATTTTCTATTTTAGTGTAAATGGGTATTTAAATGAGTAAAAGGCACCATTCTGCTCGAATCAGTAACGTTTTAGAAAATGATTATTATTGTGTTAGTTATAAGAATATAAGTTTGTTATTGTATGGATTTGTGGTTTATCCCTATTGGTGCAGAATACGATTTTAAAATGGAGTCACATTGTGTTAGAATTATAAGAATATAAGTTTGTTATTGTATAGATCTGCGGTTTATACCTTTCTCCAACTGTGGGAAATATCATTTTAAAAATGGAGTTACATTGTGTTAGAATTATAAGAATACATGTATAAGTTTGTTATTGTATGGATCTGCGATATATACCTTACTCCAACTGTGGGAAATATCATTTTAAAATGGAGTTACATTATGTTAGAATTATAAGAATGTGGATCTGGTGTTTGTCCGACTTTATACTGATTAATTAGAGCTCGTCACATCTGTTATATCTCACATGTCTGTATAATAACTATTATACTTCTATAATCATACTTTATTTGTCTATTTATATTGGTGGCTGTCGTTCATCTGTCTATTTGTGGGGTTTGGTGACCGAATGTTCAAACGAGTGCACCTTTTTCATTTAGTCAAGTGATGTGGTTTTGATTCACAACTTGCACGTGACATGGAGTTAGATCACCTGTCTAACCGCGTGGATTTTTTCTGGATCCTCTGATTCACCCTCTCCCGGCGACAGACCCCTACGCGCAAGCGAAATATTGGCGTTACCCCCCCCCCCCTCTCTCTCTCTCTCTCAGTGATGCAGGAATAACGTCTAGTCATTCAGATGGGACGATGAACCGAGGCCCCGTGCAATCGTTAGCGTGCACATTGAAGAACTTTTAACAGTTGAAATTCGATGTAGAGTAGGTGAAAACGCATGACATGGCATATGCATGGCCTTCTTCATTCCAAATAACAATGCAGAAAAGTTATAATGAAATGAATTGAAATAGGGTTTAACGTCCTACTGTTCTGCTCCTATACTGGGCTAATGAGGACGGGCATACGCCATACAGTGTGCTATGAGGGAAATGTTGCCCGGGAAGCGGCACTATGGCCTACTCTTATATCGAATTCCAACTGCCGAGGGATCTTTTACGTGCACGCCAATGTATACACGGGACCTCGGTTTTTCGTCCTATCCGAACGACTAGATAGCTGTCCTAGTCAGGCCCTCCTTTCTGCACCACTGACCAGGGGAAACCACGCCGGAAAATCCCGGTGAACTTTCTCGGCCAATTCAGGGAGCAAACACGCGACCTCCAGACTAGCGAGACAGAGTCCTACTCACTTAGCCACCATGTCTCAGTGCAGAAAAGTAAACAGTGAAACCCCATTTCATGCTTGGCATCTGAATTTTTTTTATTTATTTATTGAGAAAATTGGGAAAAAATTAATCATAGTATATTTCTGTTTATTTTCAGAATAACTCCAAGCCTAGTAATTGCAGTTTTGCCTGTTTTTGATTCCACAGAGCTGAATGAAAATTGCAATGCTGTGCCTGCGTGGGGCACCGCGTACCGAGGAGTCGGAAATCCTAGACATCAAAAAGATTTTAGAAGATTTTGCCTGGAACAATTTTAAGTCTACTCAGGGTGTATGTGCTAAAACATTTTTACGTCGACGAGATTTTATTGTCGATGTTCCTCTGAATTTCTACCACACAGAAGACGTCAACCAACAGCTGACTCCTCGTCAACTCAAGAAAGAACCTTCACGCTCAGGATATGATCACAAACATGGCGACCATACTTCAGACCTCAGAACTGAATTCCGTAATAACACGGAAACAAATCAAACGTACAAATTCAGATTTGAGCGCACGCGTAAAGCAAGTGTGACTGTTACGTTCCAGAAAGGTTTCACATTTGGTGGGAAAGCCCATTTTTCTCTTGGACTTCCCGTTGCTGGAGGAAGGTCCTCTGGCGACGTAAACATGACCTTGCAAGTCACGAAGACCGATGCCGAGAATTTTGAGGATACGTTGGTGTTGGAAACTACGAGTGATATTTCTGTAGAGAAAAAACACAGCTATATCACAGGAGTGATTTTAAAGCACAGAGATGTATCTTATGACTTCACTCTGGACACAATCATAACTATGCCTCTAAACAAAGCACCCGTCGCGATTAGGAAACGCAAAGGCGGCGAGGTCTTGTCCTCATTTTACATCGAGAATTTAAAGGATGTTTTTTTGGACTTTCCGAATGTTGAATTTATTCCGCAACGCTCCGCTGATGGCAAATCTCAAAGATACTCCGTAAAAATCAGGACTTCTGGGATCGTGGAAGGGGTGCAACTTTCTGATCAAGAGATTTTCTTAGACTCTAAAAAGATAGAGAGTGAGGACAAGTCTACATCAACCCTTGACATCGTTCCACCGACACTTGCTCGCCCAACGGACTTGGGAACACCCATCACCCCGTCAACAACCAGTAAGGACGACACCAGCGTAAAAGTCACAACTGACGACACCACGGATGCCAAAGCAGCGGACCGTTTAAAAGATCCACAAACGGCCACTGAGAGACGAACATCCTTTAAACGTTTCAATCAATTTGGAGAGAATTATACAAGTCTAACTGCCAGTTCCCCCGAAACGAAGATACTTCAGACGCCCAAAATACCCACAATTATTAAAACCTCTCCTACAACACCTCGAGTTTCTCCAGTTCCTACTGATAGCGAAGCCGCATTTCCTAAACATCGACTAAGGGAAGTGACACCCAAAAGAAGCACGCGTCCTAAGAGTCCACTTCTAATGAACAGCCCATCGTCTTTCCAAGGTACCAGTCCACAGACTCAAAGACCAAAATTATCGAAAATGACCAGTGTTTGATGATGCGCACAGGCAACCTATCGTCGTGGTTCTCTCTATAATTTCTCTTTATAACCATAGCAACACTTAACGAGGTCGTGTTTATAGTTATAGGTGGATAAATATCTTGGATTTAGGAAACTATAAAGTGTGAAATTGAATTAATCTGATACTCAATAGATCCGATATTTAATTAGTTTTGGGATTAGATTTGGTGTTGTTTCGAAAGTTTAAACAGAAGTCGATTTGTTAACTGATTTTAGTTTCATTCTTGGCTGACTGTGTGAACAGTAGAAAACACAATCGGTTACATCTCAACACTGGATTTACTTATGGACGTTACATTTTCAACGAAGACAGGTTGTCATTCCATAAACACAATCAACGTATAAATCAATCAAATCAACTTATTGATTTTTTACCGAACCTAATCTAGGAATGTTAATCCAACACATTCTAGGTTATCTTTCTTTATATTATAGACAATTTTCGCACCACAATAAAAAAGACATCGGACGGCCGATTGGCCATAAGGGCAATGGGCGATACACAGTTGGCTTGGTCAGCTGGGTAGTAACTGAGCCGATGAGCTGGATAGAACAAGATACCCCGGCTGAAAAGAAATATTTTTTCTATTTTCTCAGATAAGCAATTTGTGAATAATGGGCCGATCTAGCTGGAGAATAATGCCCGAGTCTTAATAATGGGTCGACGTAGTAGGAGAATGATGCCCGATTTGTAATAATGGGCTGACCTGGTAGGAAAGTGATGCCCGATTTGTAATAATGGGCCGACCTAGTGAGAGAATGATGCCCGGATCCGTTTTAAGATCCAGTTCGCTACTACACTAAATGCATGGAGCACTAACATTCACTAAATGAGTCCAGAATGAGCTTGTGATAAGCCTTTTTTTTACACGCACTGTAGTTTTAATCATCTCTCATCTTCCTCGGCTGTGCTCAATTGAATTTAAAACACACTTTCATATTCCTCTAGTTGGAAGGGATAAGGGTTGGGAGGGGCCTCATAAGGGGAATAACCTAGGCCTCTCTTCATCCTGCACTGACCCTAGGATGAGCTTGTTTACAACTACATTTAAAAGAAGTGCACTTCTATGTATCGATCAGCTGGTGGTTTGTTTGACACGTGGTTTTATTTTTGTTTACGCGTGTTATATTTTGTGTCACGTGATATCTTACACTTTATTTTGTGTTTTTATGGAATTTACTACAACTCGTGTTAAATATATGATATAAGTGATCCCTGTCATGTGATACATGTGTATTACCCGCGTGTTCTATCCACTTCCTACTATCACAATTTTCACCACTCGGGACTTTTCGGTTATTTACGTACGTGACTGTACAAATTTTCTATAAGGATTAAATACCTGCTATCATAATTTTTACCACTCGATGTTTATTTAATGTTTCACCATTTGGAGGTTTTCGGCAAGTTTTGCAAGTGAATATCTGTAAGGATTAAAACCCAGTTTATATAATACTTTCACCGTTCGGATATTTCCGGAAACATGGTTCTATTTAATCATTATTCAGTAATTAATTTTAATGAGATATTGTTTGTTTTTATAAAAGAAATTGATCACCATGGTAATAATTAAAGATTATACCAGTCAATGTTTTATTTATTGTTTGAAGGAAATTAAATGGACTTTGACGTCTTACGTTACCTTTCGAGGAATTTTCGCAACCACAAATATTGATCGAAACCGGGGCCGTTAACTAGCTCAGAGCAATGCGCGGACGGGAAGTGTTCTCAGGACAATCTATTTTTTATGGTCGACAATTTTTTAACAGGGGGCGGGGGAGGGGGGAGGAACTTTCGCCCCCCACCCCCTCCCTCCCTGCGCTCCACCCTAGTTACGGGCATCACTGTAAATTTTGCCCGGATAGCGGTACTACACAGTCTACTCTTATTTCTCGAATTCCAATTGTTTACATGGGTTCTCCGTTCTGCACCATTGACAAAGGGAAGCTACGCCGGAAAATCCCGAGGAACTAATAAAAATATGAGTGATGAAGGAAGTGATCTAATTAAAGGGATCGCGTGCGTGATGTCAATAATGACATCATCAGACATAAGTATATAAGTAGGCAACTCTTCAGATTTTAAGCTTGTAAGAGACGTCACTCAGGATACAGAATTCACATGTCACGTGTCTGATGTTTAAGTCTTAGTTATAGTCTGCTACACACACAAAGAATAATGGCGAAAACCAAACTCTTAAATTTAACCAGCGGCTGCCAGGCAGGATACGTCCACATTTCGCAAGAGATGGATAGAGAACAGACTAAAAACAAAAATGATTTTTTGTACAATCAGGGGCAATAATCCAGTTATGGTCTGAAATGCGCAAATATCAAAAGGGACTGAGATCTTTCGGATATAAAGATATGTTTTAAGTTTTATCAGAATCGGATAAAAATTGTAACCTCTAGAGGGTCCACAACCTTCGTATTGCAAACTTTTACACAATTTGCGTACAAAGAGCGGCCATTTTGTCGGGCAGTTTCATTTCGATTTTCCCGAAATTCGAATTCAACATTCATTATGGTGGAAAGGTGAAATATTTAAACGGTTTTAAAATCAGAAAAAAATTTTGTGACCTCTAGAGAATCCATAAGTCAAAAATGCGATTTTTCGAACAATCAGGAGCCATAATCCAGGAAGTTGCGCTCGGATATACGCGATTATCAAAAGGAACCAAGATCTCAGTGTGTAATGATGATATATTCACATGTTTTTTTTTTTAAATCGGATACAAATTGTGACCTCTACATGGACGATAAGCTAAAAACGTGATTTTCTGTACATCCAAGGGCCATAATTCAGGAAGTTACGATCCGATACGCGCGAATATCGAAAGGAACCAGGATCCTTGGGTTACAAACATGTATTTCAACTCTCATCAAGCTTGATATACCAGATGCTATACACTATTTGCGTACGAGGGGTGGCCATTTTGTCCGGCAGTTTTGGCACTATTTTCACAAAATTCAGGAAATTACTATCCGATATGCGCGAATATTGAAAGGAACCGAGATCTTTGAGTTATAACCATGCATTGCAAGTTTCAACAAAATTGGATAAAAATTGTGACCTCTATAGGGTCCACAACCTTGATATACCACATTTTTACGCTATTTGAGAACGAGGGACGGCCATTTTGTCTGTCAGTTTTGGGCCGATTTTCACGAAATTCGAACTCAACCATCCTTAGGGCGTAACGGTGATATACTAAAACAGTTTTCTAAATGGATAAAAACTTATGACCTCTATAGGATCCACAAGCTAAACACGCGATTTTTAGTACAATCAGGGCACATAATTCAGGAAGTTACGATCCGATATGCGCGAATATCGAAGGAGCTGAGGTCTTTGGGTTATAAACTTGCATTTCATGTTTCTACAAAATCGATTAAAAATTGTGACCTCTATTTGGTCCACAAGCTAAAAACGTGATTTTTCGTACAATCAGGGGCCATAATCTATGAAGTTTCGGTCCGATACATACCAATTTCGAAAGCAACCGAGATCTTTTGGAGATAAAACTATATTTCAAGTTTCGTCAAAATCGGATAAGAATTGTGACCTGTAGTATCCACAAACAATTGTGGACGGACGGATCGACGTCCGGACGGACGGGGGCGACGACAATATACGTCCACATGAAAATGTGGGCGTATAAAAACGCATGTAACGTCTTTCAGATCTTTGCCCATTGGTAAAATACGTTACAACTTAAAAACGACATATAGCGCATTTCAGATCTACTAAAATAACCAACTTCGTGGGTGTTCTTCGGGACGTCCACTTTCCTCCCATTGCTAAAGATCCCTAAGCGAAAGCGAATTATTGAATTATTGAAATAAAATTGAACCATGTTATTCCCAAAATGACCTATCTTGTGTAGAGTGTACCGTAAACAACATCTCTCTCTCTCTCTCTCTCTCTCTCTCTCTCTCTCTCTCGGTAAGATAACAACATCAGTGTTGAATTAAATTGACCAATAAGTCATGTATGCAATGTCGATAACTGTGGATGATATGAGTTTAGCGACTTGCCTCCTTGAAACTCCTCGATTGTACAACCTTGTGGGTTTTCTCCGGACCCTCCGGTTTCCTTCCACTGCTACAGACCACGACGCGCAAGTGAATTATTGAAATAAAATTTAACCATTTGTTAGTCCCGAAATAACATAGTCCCGAAATAACATGGTCCGGACCATCGTCTGTCCAAAGATGGCTGCCACCATGGACAAAATTCCTTGTAATTTGACTTTACTTTTTGCATAATACAAAATAATATTGAAATAATGCGTAATTTTTAGACTTACATAGATTCAGACAACATACGAGATAAAAAAAAAATATCTGCTCATAGAAGTAGTAACAATTTAAAACTCTTTCAAGCTTTCCTAAAATCATATGCTAAGGAAAATTAGATTCTTTCTAAATATTTTACACTTTCGTTCCATCGACACCCGCAATCTTGGAACTACTATGACCATGCCATAATAGCATGGTTCAGTTTTTGCGGACTGAATGAAATTCGGATTCCGTTAGTTCGACCAAAGTCAAGAAATCTCGACAACCGAGGATCGCCCTATTAGGGTAATGTTACCCGGGCAGCAGCGTTACGGTCTGTTCGTAATTGAATTCCAAGGGGTTTTTTTATTACGTGGTTAGTGGTTTGTTTCATTTCGTTAACTGAAAAATAATGGATGAATGGAATTATTGTCATTGTGGTAATCAGAGAAGAAATCAAAGTGGAAATAGATTGATTCGGACAACTTAACCTTCTACAGACAAGGATTATATATCAGAAGTCGCTCATTGTTACTCCGCGACAATTAGACTTCTAAACTAAAAGAAAAAAAGCCGTAATGAATGAAAGCGAGATATACGTTATATAATGATAAGCGAGGGATACGTTATATAATGATAAGCGAGGTATACGTTATATAATGATAAACGAGGGATACGTTAGATAATGATAAGCGAGGTATACATAATGATAAGCGAGGTATACGTTATATAATGATAATTGTTGATTCTTGGTACCCTGTCATTTTCTATTTGCTTCGTTTTCTCTTATCTAGTGACAATCAGTTCATTTTATGATCTTCTCACAGTCTCATATAATCACTATTCGTCTTCGAAGGAATTATCAGTGAGCTGAAATTCGATCGTGAATCTGATATCGCTCGATACTTCTGTCAGTTATACATAAGGATAGCTCATGTTCTGCATTTTATGCGTTACTTCCCGTTTCTTCAAATCTTCGTTACGTATCTATCGTACCAATGGTCTCTGTGTTAAAAGCATATTTGGAATGTGTTTAACTAGTTCTATCACATATGTGATAATGGCTGACACCAACAATTTCCTATACACCCCCCCCCCTCCCGCGACACACACACACACACACACATACCCTCACCCCCCCCCCCCCCCCACCCCCCGCATTAAAACTAACATCACTTGAAATATCTTTAGTGGTCTTTTTCCATTGATAATTATAGTGTTATCTCCCCTGAAACCGATATCGTATTTTACAGACCGTGAACAGGGACCAATTTACGAACTTCCCTATGCTATTCAAGCCCGTGAATACAGCAACTTCAAAGTAGTCTAATAAGCCTAATTTAGGCGGCTGGATAGAATTCCAATCAACCAATCAGTCGTTTACAGATCATCGTTTTTATGGTGGCTGATTGGTATCATGTCGTGATGTCGTGGTGTCGCTCTCATAAGGCGACACCCCGACAACCCGACATTTTAACCCGACACCACGACAATCCGACATCACGATATTTTTAACCCGACAATACAACATTTTCACCCGACACCACGACATTAAAAATGTCGTAATGTCGCGTAAAAATGTCGTATTGTCGGGTTAAAAATGTCAATGTCATGATATCGTGATATCGTGTTGTCGAGTTGTCGTGGTGTCCTGATGTCGGGTTGTCGTGGTGTCGGCCATATTCCTCTCAGTACTATGATTACATATACACTAATCCTGGTGTAGGTCAAGAAAGTTCCCCCTGGATCTTGCAGCGTGGTTTCTCCATGTCGGTAGTGCAGGACAAAGGGTCTGGCAAAGAACAGTGTCTAGTATTGTAGATGGGACAAAAAAAAAACCAAAACAACCCCCTGTGTACACATTGGCGTGCACATAAAAAAATCCTTCACAGTTGAAATTCGATGAAGAAATGCCACGGTCCATTGAAAATTTCCTTCATATCACTCTGCATAGGGTATGCCTATCTCCAACAGTCCGATTCGTTCGGAAAAGTAGAAAAATAAAATGAAATGAAATGGAGTTTAACGTCCAACTGTTTTGCTCCGGGAGCCTAAGTAGGTAAGATGCTGGCTCGCTAGCTTGGACGTCGCGGATTCGCCCCCGGTGTTGGCCGAGAAAGTTCATCAATATTTTCTGGCGTGGTTTCCCCTTGTCAGTGGTGGCATAGTTTAATGTGTCCGACCCATTCACATACTTTGTTGGTGGCTATTGGCATAGTTTAATGGCACGGTAAAGTGACACCATCTTGTTGCAAACTAGTCTCGACACCAACAAGGTTGAACATATTATTTTCCAACACACCATAGTGGCCCTTGGATACAAAAGTTCAAAATAAACTATATTGCTCACAATACACTATTTCAGTGTACGTACCTCATTAAATCGTACACTCGTGTGTTATCATGTAAACGAAAATTTCATTTTCATCACTTTCTTGTCTAATCGCGGTTACACCTACAGACCAAATGATAAACGTTGGGGACAGCTATTATCTCTCTATTGATCTATGTAGTACAGTAGTCGAGTCTTAGATTTTCGAGTTCCTTTCCTGTTTCCATGCAGAGTGAGTGAGATTTCCACGTGCTTGCTACCACGCGGTGGGGTCCGCCATGTTCTATCTTGAAAACGATCCTTCATATCTTTAGCCGAGTGATGCGAATAATCGTTAAACTGTCAACGCTTAGCGGAACATTGTATCGATATGCAAAGGTTTCATTTACATCACCATACATGCAATTATGTCGTATTCCCTTTAGTAATAAAACATTTCGTCGTTGTATAAATGTAAACATCGTTTCGTAGGTAGCCTTAGTCTCCGAATATTTAGTATTTCCTTGAAATTATGCTGATATCAATGAGAAAAGCGTTAATCTTAACTGCATAACTGCTGAATATGATTAATTCATATCAAAATATAAATGAGGTGTCATTTACGGGATTTGATAATATTGAAAAATAAGTTATGCATGAACTCATTGATGCGAGCAGCACATCCCGTAGAGAGTGAATCGGCACAGAAAGGTAAATAAAGATGCAGTAAATACTTTTTGACTTATACTATCACAACCGCTATTGGCCATCTTTTAATCCCAACATTATTCATTTATCACCCAATAATACATTCTACAGTAGATATCGCTTGTGTGATATATTTCATAATCTCCCTAGGAGATATCGCTTTACATGAATTTGATTGGTCAGTTGAAAAGGAACTACTTTTTTATTTTCAAAGAACAGTTCATTTCTTATTAAAAGTAACTTTTTTTTTTATTAAAAATGAACTATTGTTATTCAATTGACCTTGATGGACACAATGGGTCAATATAAAGGACTTTACAATGGTTGAATTGCTGTCACAAAATGATGTATCACTACGCCGTAATGTTCAGTAAAAGTGAAATCTACAGCAAAGAACTATATTTATCTATTTGTGCATGTAAGAAGGGATAGGGTGATAAATAAAATCTCGACAGAGCCTCGTTTTTTTGTTACTTTATCAACTTGTGTTGATATTTTTTGATATCAAAAAAGACTAGTAGGAGATTCTCTATATATGCAATTCATGGATCGAACACGCGACCTCCAGGCTAGCGAGCCAGCATCTTACCCACTTAGCCACCGTGGCTCCCAGCGAGTAGGACATTAGATCGCCAACCTATTAGAGGTCTGGTGTCCTGCATTAGGCCTGAGGGGAGCCACGGTGGCTCAGTGAGTAAGACGCCAAATCGCTAACGCGGGGGTTCATCTGGATTTTCCGGTGTGATTACACCCTGTGAGTGTTGCAGGACGAAGGACATAGCAAGGGACAACGTATGGTAGTTTGGATGGGACGAAAAACCTAGGCCCAGTGTACACAATGGCGTACACATAAAAGAACCCTTGACAGTTGGAATTCGATATAAGAGTAGACCGTAGTGCCGCTGTCCCAGCAAAATGTCTCCCATAGACCAGTTCAGAACAGTAGGATGTTAAACCTCATTTCAGATTGTTGAATAAATGATCTAAATGTAGTCGTATAATGTCGTCATACCCGTCCGACTGTCTGACGTCTACTATTACTAGAGTCCCGGGTTATCATCCGATTGGTACTGAGAGAGTGGGAGAGGGGAACCCGGAGATCCGGAGAAAACCCACGAGGTTAGGTAGGCGACCCTATATTACGTGTTGAATCGAAACCATGCCACATGACACCATGACAGACCGTATGATCTAAAGCGGACATGTTACACCATTCTGCCACCCAGTCCTCGGTCCAATATCCAAATCGACCGATGCCAAGCCGCAGTTATATTTCTTAATTGTGTTCGATATAATAGGAAACACTCCTGATACCAAAATGGCGTCTTTTGGCGGGAATTTATATTATCTGGGGAGCTTGTCAAAACAACAAACGACGTATAATTTATATCAGTACTGTTTAATCAGCTTTTATTTTGTTGATAGAATTTATCTAGCTATGTCCTGTGTATGGGGGTTGGGTTTCATATATAGAGACAGCTTCGATTGGTGCTTGGGTAGGTGCGATTGGTGCTTGGGTAGGAGCGATTGGTGCTCGGGTAGGTGCGATTGGTTCTCCTGTTGGTAATGGTTCTTCTACTAGAGCTTCTTCTACTGTACCGTTACTGTTAGCTTCTACTACTGGTTTCTCAACTCGCTTTCCTGAAGCAAAAACAAAATTACGTGAATGATATTATTGGCATCCAATGTCTATTTAAACTAGAGCATTTCGGTACCTACACTTGTTCAAATTATATCAAAATATATACTTTCAAAATATATAAGGAGAATAATTGTGCCTCGACAGTGGCATTTCCGGTATCTCTTTATGGTATTGCAATTTTTCAGCGCCCTATGACGCCACAATAAACGTGTAGATAGGTGTTCGTCGCTTTCGGCCGAAGCAGAACGACTGGATAACACGTTATTTGCCAGTCTCTTACATCCAGTCGTATATTCATTATGATCAGTGGCAATCCTGGATTAACTATTACGTAACTAAAAACGTGCTTAGAATAACAATTTGCAGTCCTGGAGGGTCATTAGACGGTTCACTCCCATTTCGACTACGTCCCATTTCGACTACACCCGATTTCGACAACAACTTTTAATACCCTCAAAATCCTGACCCCCAACTAATCAGCAATGAACTGCTCCGCCGATTAAAAGATGTAATTAAGGTAAACATAACTTTGTAAATCCTTCGACTATAAAGTGGTAACAGATGTTCTTGGAACAGTTAGCGTATACGCCAATGCTTGGAGGATAGGTTAGACCGATATTTAGGGATCGGAAAGTATACGTATACGGTTGTGAGGTCGTGTTGGTTTAGATGCGTACGTGAGATGTTTTGGTTGTACTGGATGGTGTTGGTTTGCCTGCTTGAGGTTTTGTGAATATGGGGATGTGAGATGGTGTTATTTATAAAATATACCCATGGTCTAAAACAATTGTTGTTTATTACAAATTTAACGTCCAGGGTTGTCACGATATGACACCTGCAAATTGTCACTTGCGTCTTCAAAAGCATAAAGAAAACAAAAATAGCATTAACAGTATAATTTTTAATACGATAAATACAAAATCGCCATATCAGTAATTAATTCCAGAGTTCCGTATGTCCATGGAGTCACATCGTGGTGAATGAAATTCACACGTTATTGGTACACAAAATAACAAAGACACTAAATGTGGGTCTACACTTCCCATTTAATAGGTAACACTTACACTCGCGCAGTTATTTAAACAGCTTAGTTGAGACATTTATAGGTCTGTATATGTATACTCTGTAACCACACTGTCATGAAAAGTTGACTAACTTGGCCCTAACGTTGTTCCATATCAAAACGTGTTCTTACAAATCATCCATTACATAGTGTAACATCTGATATAATAATCAATTCCAGCGTATAATATCGGCCTCTAATTCCAATCAAAAAAAAAAGGGTAACGTCTGTTAAAATTAGCCCCATGATCAATCCGGATTGAGCCTGAACGAACAAAACTAAAAGACTGACCATGTTGTACTACCCACCCCTGTTTATCTATGTTGTGTACAAGCTGCATGCCCCAGATCGCATGTTGACAATTCAGATGATTTTGGGGGATACTACGGAGACAATAAAAAATGAGTTTAGGGGATCAAATGAGACAATTAACAATGAGTTTGGGGGATCTAAATGAGACAAATATAATTTAGTTACAAAATTCAGATGTACAAAACATGATTGTGACAAAGGTCATCTTCTCCATTTGTCATAATGTAAACAAGTTAAAACTGGAGGTCCAACTGATTGACGTGTGTAAAACAACTAAATAACGAGCTATTAAATATATCACTACCTAGAACCGCTAAAACTGACACGGGGGAAACCGTGCCGGAAAATCACGTGACCTCTCTTATTGTATGGCCCAGAGAGCAAGCCGCTGGCTCACTAATCCCCTGCCAAACCGGGGTGGCGTCTTACCGGCTGCTGCGACCGTACGGCGACCAGAAAATGCACAAAGTCGCGGGCAAACGTGAACAAGACAACAAAAAAAATGTCTAAAAAAAATTACAAACTTGAAAAATGCCGCGTAAATGCCGCGATCTTACCGCGACCTGTGCGATTATACCGCGTTCTCACGGCGCGACCGTCACGACTTCTCTGCGCTTATTGAGATCATTTGGCTTGGCAACGGCGACCCCCGGCACGCTAACCACGCTCATGGGGTACTTACCACACGCCTTCTACGTGTATCGCGACTGCGCGTGCGTTTCTACCACTTGATCACGGCGAGGATATAATATTAAGCTGGTCATGATCATACACACTGATGTATGAACTTTCAACCGCCTGTTTTTATAGAAATTCGCACATGAAAAGCATAGTCGCCATAGAAGCGTAATGCAAGCTTGGTAACCGCGCCATGGTCGTATTAATAAATCCATAAACGCAGTGGGGACCCCATAAGATCGCCATAGGCGCACTGGGAACCCCATGATGACGTGCTGCAATCGTGCAACAGTGGTGAAATCATCGTCGTAACATCGCTATGACCGCTTGGTGGGGTCGTGACAGACACCCGAGGGTCGTTGTAAATGTTATAATTTTGGCAGCATCTTTGCCACGTGTGTACTACGTTCATGGATGTTACCGCGCTTGCCTCGCGACCCCACCGCGTTCGCACAGCTTTCTAGGTCAGATCGCAGAACCTTTGGCGTTTGTTTTAAACATTCTCAAATCAAACGCCGTGACTCGGCGATCATTGGCGACCATGGAGATCACAGCACTATATTTGATGTTTCCATCACGCTTAAAGTGATCTTGACGCGCTCTGAGACCATTTTCCTTCGCTGTAGCAGCGCAGTAAGGACGCCACCCAGGTCTGACGGGGGTATAACAAGCAGGTCCGAGTTTAGATCTCCGTGGAAGGCGAGAAAGTTCCCAGGAATTTTTCCAGCGTGGCGTGTGTAGTGATATAGTCGACTGGATATGTCAAGCCGTGCCATTAAATCGTTTGCCACATCCGATGTGTGATATGTTCTCTCTTGCTACACATTTTTGTTAGCCTGTTGATCATCTAGATTTATTGTAATTCTTTACTCTAGGACCCCTCTTTAACGGTGTAACGGTGATATATTCGAACGGTTTAAATCAGATAAAATTTTGACCTCTATAGGGACCACAAGCTAAAAACGCGATTTTTTTGTACAATCCGGGTCAATAATCCAGTAAGTTATGGTCCGATATGCGCGAATATCGAAAGGAAACAAGATGTTTGGGCTATAAACAAAGGTTTCAAGTTTCATCAAAATTTGATAAACATATAATGTGGGCGTATAAAAACTAAATAGTGTATTTTATAACGCACTTCAAAGAATACGTAGAAGTTGATTGTCTTTTATACTAGCATAGTACTCATTTTCATCTGTCTATACTTGACAAACCAATCAAGTGGATATTTCAAAAAGAGAAAAATGAAAAGAGAGAGAGAGAGAAATGGAGTTTAACGTCCACTCGACACAAACTGGGTCATTTCGGGACTAACATATGGTTTAATTTTATTTCAATAATTCGCTTGCGGGTAGGGGTCTTTAGCTGTGGGAGGAAACCGGAGGACCCGGAGAAAACCCACGAGGTTGGACAGGCGACCCTACTCCTTGCCACTTACAACCGGGGATTCGAAACCACGCCAGTTGACTCAATGACAGGCTTTATGATACAGCACGCACGTGCTAACCATTCGGCCATCCAACCTCATCGAGAAAAATAAAGATTTTGTCAAAAATAAAGGATGGTTCAACTTGTTATATCTATCTAACCGTAACCAACCATACTATATATAATACGGAAATCTCATGTGATATCTATCTCCGTTGTTCAATCGGTAAGACAATTATTATATATGTGTCAGTGTATCTGTATACCATTTATATCAATGTAAATAGGTCGTGTGGTCTTTATTGAATGCGCATAAGTTCACTGTTGAATACTTTTTTTCCCGATAGCTGGCTAATATGAGGGTTTGGGTGGTCTAGTGGTTTAACGCGTGCGTGTGAAATCAAGTGGCGTGGTTTCGATTCCACGCTTGTACGTGACACGGAGTAGGGTCGCCTGTCGAATCTCGTGGGTTTTCTCCGGGTTCCCCGGTTTCCTCCCACTGCTAAGGATCCCTACGCGCCGGCGAATTATTGAAAATATTGAACCACATGTTAGTCCCGAAATGATTTAATTTGTGTCGCGTGGACGTTAATCCCCATTTCTCTTTCTCTCTAGTTGTCTACTAAACTTCATGGAAAAGGTCAGGAAACAACCAGCTGATTTCAGCCGCCATCTTGGATGCTGAAGACGGGCTGGAGTCCAAATCTATTTTCGGCCCAACGAATGATCTGTACCGTCTATACACAGGGATGCTGGAAGGCGGTTGCATGGGGCAATATCACATTTGATAATCCAGGCAATGAATGATTTTATTGGAAAAATAATGTCAGAAATGAAGTCATTTTCTTAAAGTTCGACCATCAAATTTGATATCAAGGAAATCCATGTTAGTCAATTTGTCAAAACCAAATATAAGTATTAGTTATCGTCCTCGGTCCCGCAGTGGGTGACATATAGCACTATGAAGTTTATATGTTTTAGCATATAGCAAAAACTATGTCTCAAAATAAATTCCCCATAGCCTCAAATGGTTTCGGAAAAATGCAATGGTCATATATATATTGAAGTAGTAGACAAGAACATTCATAATAAATAATTAAATGAGAGCATTGTTAACGCTGCAATATACGTCCACATTCCTGCTTTGATTGATGAAATGAAAATGAAATGAAATGGGGTTTAACGTCCTACTGTTCTGCTCCTATACTGGGCTAATGAAGACGGGCATACGCCATACAGTGTGCTATGAGGGAAATTTTGCCCGGGCAGCGGCCCTATCGCCTACTCTTATATCGAATTCCAACTGCCAAGGGATTTTTTACGTGCATTCCAATGTATACACGGGACCTCGGTTTTTCGTCTGATCCGAAGGACTAGACAGATGTCCTTGACAGGCCCTCCGTCCTGTCTCACTGACAAGGGGGAACCACGCGGGAAAATCTGGATGAACTTTCTCGGCCAATGCAGGGATCGAACACCCGACCTCCAGGTTAGCGAGCCAGCGTCTTACCCACTTAGCCACGTGATCCCCGCTTTGATTGATATGGTACTTTTTAAAATGAAGAGAAAGAAATATGAAATAGCTGCAATGACTGTACAATGACAAGAGGCTAGGTGTTGGGTTTGATTTACCAAATTTACAGACTAAATATTAACACAAAAGTGGGTATGTCATTCCCCAGAGCGTTGGGGCATGTACACAAACAAATTATTAATGTCTTTACGGTATAAGAAATAAATATGCAAGATGATCCATTCAGAATTGCAGCCTGTAAATGATAAACCAAAAACTTGGGCGTGGCTCTCTGCCCCTTGGGGTTGGACATGGCGCAATATCAATAGGTACAACCCTGTTAATGAAATGATTGATATGATGAATTTTAACAAAATCTGTTAAAAATTGCAACCTGTAGAGTATATACAAACAAAAAATAACAAAAATGTGATACACATCTCGGGGGGGGGGGGGGGGGGTCGGGACATGCACCAAAAAAAACCCCCCAAAAAACCAACCTTTCTATCCTAGCGGTATAAGGAAATAAATATTCCAAGTTCCAAGATGATCCATTCAGAATTCAGCCTGTAGACAAAAACACAAAAGTTGGATGTGTCTATACCCTTGGGGTCTGTACGTGGAGCAATATAAATAGGCTATGATAGATCGTGCCGAATTTGATCCAAATCTGTTAATAATTGCAACCCGTAGATTATTGACAGACAAAATATTAACAAAAAGTGGGTGTCACCACCCAAGGGGGTCGGATCATGCACCAAAAGCAATAGTTGCCGTCCGTAGTGTATAAGAAATGAGTATACCAAGTTAAAAAATAATCCATTTATATTTGTGGTCTTCAGGTGCTAAACACAAAAATTGGGCGTGGCTCTGTCCCTGGGGGTCGGGGCATGCACCAAAATGAACAGTTTCTACCCTTAGGCTATAAGGAATATATATGCCAAGTTCCAAGATGATCAATTAAGAATTGTGGCCTGTATACAATAAACACAAAAAATGGACGTGGCTCTGTCCCTGGGGGTCGGGGCATGCACCAAAATCAACAGTTGCCGTCCTTAGGCTATAAGGAATACATATGCCAAGTTCCAATACAATCCATTACGAGTTTGGGCCTGCAGGCAACACAAGGACACACAAAGGTTGTGATTTCCCATATTAAGTTGTTTACCGGTAGCAGTGTAGCTGCGCAGTGCTGAATGGTATATAATAGTACATTATTTTTTAAATTTCATCATTTTTTTATTGTTTAATATCATCTAAAGCACATTAAGATACCAAAATAAAGGCACTAAAGGTGTTGTGAATTTTTTTAGGACCCCCACTCTCTCCCCTTTCATGGTTTGTCACTTTACCTTGCCCTTGATGTACTTGACTTATTCTCCGAATTTGTTGATGGCTATTGGCACAGTTTAATGTGTCCGACCCATTCACAGCCTTTGTTGATGGCCCTTGGATTAGTTTAATGTTTCTGAGAGCCACAATGGCTCAGTGAGTAAGACCTTGGCTCGCTAACCGGGAGGTTTCGTTTTCGATCCCTGCGTTGGCCGAGAAAATTCCATGGGATTTCCGTTGGGACCTCCAGGTTATCGAGTCAACGCCTTACTCACTTAGACATCGTGGCTCCGATAAAGACTAGAAAGTACAATTCGAAACGTCTACACTAACATGCACATAATTGTTTATAAATGTGTCAATCGGCCACAATATACATGTATACAAAAGAAAACCGTTTAAATAAATGTCTTTTATCATTATTTCAACTCAATCAGAAGTCGATCAATCAGTGCTTCTTGGCCTATAAATACAAAAGGAAACGTCCGCTACGATATACTCATGAATTTTTTCTAATTTTACGACTGATAAAGAAACCGATCTGGGTAATAAACAGAATCTGTGCTCAATTGAATTGTGTCCTGTATAACTCACCATACAAAGACATGGTTTCTAGGGTAACAATCCATTGATCCAATCTCAGTTCGTAGAAAAACGAATCCAAGATTTGCGATTTGAAATGGTGAATGTTCTCCGCGATTAATGCGATTAACTATAACCAGCGGCTGCCAGGCAGGATACGCCCACATTTTCGAGAGATGGATAGAAAACAAGCTAAAACGAATGTATTTTTTCCTACAATAAGGGCCATAATTCAGGAAATTACAATTCGATATGCGCAAATATCGAAAGGAACCAAGATCTTTGAGTTATAAACTTACATTTCAAGTTTCAACAAAATCGGATAAAAATTGTGACCTCTATAGGGTCCACAACCTTGATATACCATATTTTTACGCAATTTGAGAACGAGGGGCGGCCATTTTGTCTGTCAGTTTTGGGCCGATTTTCACGAAATTTGAACTCAGTCGTCCTTAGGGTGTAACGGTGATATAATAATACGTTTGTTTAAATCGGATAAAAATTATGACCTCTATAGGGTCCACAAGCTAAAAACGCGATTTTTCGTACAATCACGGGCCATAATTCAGTAAGTTACGGTCCGATATGCGCAAATATCGAAAGGAACCAAGATCTTTGGGTTATAAACTTACATTTCAAGTTTCAACAAAATCGGATAAAAATTGTAACCTCTGATATACCATATTTTTACGCTATTTGAGAACGAAGGGCGGCCATTTTATCTGTCAGTTTTTGGTCGATTTTCACGAAATTCGAACTCAGCCGTCCTTATGGTGTAACGGTGATATATTAACACGGTTTGTTAAATTGGATAAAAATTATGACCTCTATAGGGTCCACAAGCCAAAAAACGCATTTTTGCGTATAGTCAGGGGCCATAATTCATGAAGTTACGGTCCAATATGCGCGAATATCGAAAGGAACCAAGATCTTTGTGTTATAAACTTACATTTCAAGTTTCAACAAAATCGGATAAAAATTGTGACCTCTATAGGGTCCACAACCTTGATATACCATATTTTTACGCTATTTGAGAACGAACGGCGGCCATTTTGTCTGTCAGTTTTGGGCCGATTTTCACGAAATTCGAACTCAGCCGTCCTTAGGGTGTAACGGTGATATATTAACACGTTTTTTTTAAATCGGATAAAAATTATGACCTCTATAGGGTCCACAAGCCAAACAACGCGTTTTTGCGTACAATCAGGGGCCATAATTCATGAAGTTACGGTCCGATATGCGCGAATATCATAAGGAATCAAGATCTTTGTGTTATAAACTTACATGTCAAGTTTCAACAAAATCGGATAAAAATTGTGACCTCTATAGGGTCCACAGCCTTGATATACCATATTTTTACGCTATTTGAGAACGAACGGCGGCCATTTTGTCTGTCAGTTTTGGGCCGATTTTCACGAAATTCGAACTCAGCCGCCCTTTGGGTGTAACGGTGATATATTAACACGGTTTTTTAAATCGGATAAAAATTATGACCTCTATAGGGTCCACAAGCCAAAAAACGCGTTTTTGCGTACAATCAGGGGCCATAATTCACGAAGTTACGGTCCGATATGCGCGAATATCGAAAGGAATCAAGATCTTTGTGTTATAAACTTACTTGTCAAGTTTCAACAAAATCGGATAAAAATTGTGACCTCTATAGGGTCCACAACCTTGATATACCATATTTTTACGCTATTTGAGAACGAACGGCGGCCATTTTGTCTGTCAGTTTTGGGCCGATTTTCACGAAATTCGTACTCAACCGTCCTTAGGGTTTAACGGTGATATAATAATACGTTTTTTTTTTAAATCGGATAAAAATTATGACCTCTATAGGGTCCACAAGCCAAAAAATGCGTTTTTACGTACAATCAGGGGCCATAATTCAGGAAGTTACGGTCCGATATGCGCGAATATCGAAAGGAACCGAGATCTTTGGGTTATAAACTAACATTTCAAGTTTCAACAAAATCGGATAAAAATTGTGACCTCGATGTGTTCACAAGCCAAAAACGTGATTTTTCGTACAATCAGGGGCCATAATCCATGAAGTTACGGTCCGATAGATGCCAATATCGAAAGGAACAGAGATCTTAGGGTGATAAACCTATATTTCAAGTTTCATTGAAATCGGATAAATATTGTGACCTGTAGACTGTTCACAAACAACTGTGGACGGACGGACGGACAGGGGCGACGACAATATACGTCCACATGAAAATGTGGGCGTATAAAAATGTTGAGCAATGTCATCTACACTGAGCACGTTATACCACGTTAAACCCATTACCCATCTTCGACGCACCATCGCCCGGTAAAGCCACCCCATTCCGCTCTAACCCCCCCTCCCCCCACTACCACCCGGTTACACCCCCCCTTTCTGTGGACTGCTTCTGTCTTTACTTATATATCCACTATCAGTTAAAAATACTGTCCAAGTTTAATATTCGGCGATTTATTTAACTTTACTTTGTAGTTACCATTTTTATAATTCTGAAATAACAAGTAAAGCAACAATTAACCATTCATTATGTAAGAGCTAAATCTGCCTATTGCACCACTGACAAGGGGGGGGGGGCAAGCCGAAATTACCCGATGAAACCCAAGGTTAGCAGCCAACATCTTACCCACTGAGCTACCGTGTCCCCCCTCAGGACTAATTCAGGGTATATCTTTAGTAGAAGAAAACATCTTGAATACCCTTAAAGTAAATCCACGAGATTAAGCTCATCGAAATAATAAAATATTTCACCTTTTTAACTACAGATATATTCTGCCAGACAGCTTTAGGTATTGGTTTTGATTGATGATAATATTTTCTACCCGATTTTAAATTACCCTCAAATACTGTAAACCTAAACGAAAGGACAGATATATCACATCAATAATCACACCAATATATCATATCTCATCAATACATAACGCCAATATATCACATCACACCAACATCAATATATCACATCGCATCAACACATCAGACAAATATACCACATCAGACCAATATATCACATCACATCGCACCAATATAGCACATCACACAAATACATCACATCACATCAATACATCGCACCAATATATCACTTCACATCAATATATCACACCAATATAACACATCACATCAATATACCACATCACTCTATCACATCAATACATCAGAACAATATATCACATCACATCAATATATCACACCACGCCATTACATCAATATAAATTATGATCACACCAAAATATGACATCAATATATCACATCTATATATCACTTCTATATATGACATAAATATCTGACATCACATCAATATATCACATCACATATATATATATATACTAGCAGGATACCCGGCTTTGCTCGGGGGTCATAACTCCGAAACCGGAAGTGGTAGACTAACGCCACCTGGCCTATGTTACTCCCCGGTCCGAGCTACCCCTATACCCCAAATTTCAGACTCGGGGCAGACCTAGTGTAGCCGCCAACCCCGAACAGACCGGCTTCGCTCGGGGGTCATAACTCCGAAACCGGAAGTGCTAGACTAACGCCACCTGGCCTATATTACTCCCCGGTCCGAGCTACCCCTATACCCCAAATTTCAGACTCGGGGCAGACCTAGTGTAGCCGCCAACCCCGAACAGACAGACTTCGCTCGGGGGTCATAACTCCGAAACCGGAAGTGGTAGACTAACGCCACCTGGCCTAGGTTACTCCCCGGTCCGAGCTACCCATATACCCCAAATTTCAGAGTCGGGGCAGACCTTGTATAGCCGCCAACCCCGAACAGACCGGCTTCGCTCGGGGGTCATAACTCCGAAACCGGAAGTGGTAAACAAACGCCACCTGGCCTATGTTACTCCCCGGTCCGAGCTACCCCTATACCCCAAATTTCAGACTCGGGGCAGATGTAGCCGCCAACCCCGAACAGACAGACTTCGCTCGGGGAACATAACTCCGAAACCGGAAGTGGTAGACTAACGCCACCTAGCCTATGTTACTCCCCGGTCCGAGCTACCCCTATACCCCAAATTTCAGACTTGGGGCAGACCTAGTGTAGCCGCCAACCCCGAACAGACCGGCTTCGCTCGGGGGTCATAACTCCGAAACCGGAAGTGGTAGACTAACGCCACCTGGCCTATGTTACTCCCCGGTCCGAGCTTCCCCTATACCCCAAATTTCAGACTCGGGGCAGACCTAGTGTAGCCGCCAACCCCGAACAGACAGACAGACAGACAGACAGACAAACGACAGTCACAAATATATATATAGATAGATAGATAACATTTTCTGCCCCAACCGGGGTAATGAAAACGGGCATAGGTTGGGGTAAGGGTTCTTTTACATGCACGTCAAGTTGTACGCGGTAATTCGGTTGTTTCTATGACATGGCCATGACAAGAGGGAAACTGCGTATGAAAATCACGAGGAAGTTTCTCGGCCAACACCGGGATTGAACCCGGGACCTCACTGAATCCTCATGGCTTCCATCCAATAGTTGATTTAATGATAATTGATGAAACTTACATTACAGTAACTTCGTCATGCGTTTCTTCCAGTACTGTCCACGTAAATTGATCGTTTTTCTGGGCGCCTTTCATAAGATAATAAATGGTTGGATTACTGGATTCATCCCTTTTAATCTGAACTAAAACACAGTAAAAATCAATATTGGTGAGAGAAAGAGTGGAATATAGATGAATAGAACTGGGGTTTAACGTCCACTAGACTCAAACTAGGTCATTGCGGGACTAACATATGGTACATGTTAATTTCAATAATTAGCCTGCGGGTAGCAGTTGGAGGAAACCACAGGACACGGAGAAAAGAAACGAGGTTGGATAGGCGACCTTACTGCTTGTCACGTACAAACCGGGGAATCGATACCACGCCAGCTGACTCAATGATAGATCTTATGACACAGCGCTAACCATTCGGCCATCCGAATCCCCACTCAATGACAGACCACATGATCTAAAGCGCACGTGCTATTTAGGAAAGAAATGTACTGACCATTCATTGCATCTGGAAGATCTGTTGTTGTGGAAGCCTCGGCCATTGTGAAAAAATATTGAACATCTAGGTTGTGGATACATCTATCCCACCGACTTACTTCAGATCTACTAAAAGAAAGCGGGAGGAAAATTTAAAAAAAAGAAATAAAATGGGGTTGAACGTCTTACTGTTCTGCTCCTGTACTGGGCTAATGAAGACGGGCATACGCCATACAGTGTGCTATGAGGGAAATTTAGCTCAGGCAGTGGCACTATGGCCTACTCTTATATCGAATTCCAACTGACAAGGGATCTTTAACGTGCATGTCAATGTATACATGGCGTGTATACATTGGCATGCAGGTTTCGTCCCATCCGAACGACTAGACAGCTGCCCTTGTCAGGCCCTCCGTCCTGCACCTCTGACAAGGGGAAATTTTGGAAATTCGTCATGATAGAGGGAAGGGGTTTAACTATTTGACCTTATATAATACATCAAAGTCATCATTAGCACGAATGGTGTACAAAAGTAGCGCTTTAAATTCTGTTGAGAGAGAAATGGGTTTAACGTCCACCCAACAAAAACTAGGTCATTTCGAAACTAATATTATATATCTTGTGCGTAGGAGGCTTTAGCAGTGGGAGAAAACCGGAGGCCCAGTAGAAAGGCGGCTATATTCCTTGTAACGAACATGCCACTTGAAAATTGGAACTTTACAAGTAATAACAGTACAAAAATATTTCAATTACATCGTGCAGGATGTACAGAGATATGCTGAATTGAAAATTTGCCAACATTCGGCATCTACTGTAGGCGATATATAGGATATAGCGCAAAAAAAACAAAAAAAAACAAAACAAAAAAACACAAGTCCCACCATTAAAATCCTTTGATGTACCTCTTTTTAATCACATCGAATCTAAGCTGGGTGATTATATACCGTAGATATTTTATTTTTTTTTTCTTAATTAAAAGATACATTATGGGAGGTTCTCACTATAATAGTTAAAGATAGGTTGCCAGACAACGAAACATACGCCCACAACAGCTAAATCGTCGGGCAGTCAACGAGAGTTGTCGCATATTTTTAATTTTCGATAATGAAACATTTATAATACACTAAAATCTGATTATAAATTTAAAGTCAATCGGATATTAACTTTGGCCTCTAGATCGTCCACAAGATTTTTCAAAGTGATCAAGGGCCATAACTCTGGCAGTAATTATCGCAAATCGCTGAAAATCAAAAGGCTTCTTCGTCTCATGACCGTAAACACTGTGTATAAATTTAAAGTCAATCGGATATTAACTTTGGCCTCTATAGCGTCCACAAGATTTTTCAAAGTGATCAAGGGCCATAACTCTGGCAGTAATTATCGGAAATTGGTAAAAATCAATAGGCTTCTTCGTCGCATTTCCTTAAACACTGTGTATGAATTTAAGATCAATCGAATATTAACTTTGGGCTCTAGAGCGTCCACAAGATTTTTTTGAAGTGATCAAGGGCCATAACTCTGGCAGTAATAATCGGAAATCGCTGAAAATCAATAGGCTTCTTCGTCTCAAGACCTTAAACACTGTGTATAAATTTAAAGTCAATCGGATATTAACTTTAGCCTCTAGAGCGTCCACAAGCAATTGTGGACGCCGGACCGACGGACCGACAGACCGACGGGGGCGACGACAATATACGACCACATTTAAATGTGGGCGTATAAAAACTAGATAAAGTAAGGGGAATATGCTAAAAATGTCAGTCAAATTGATTTACACTGAACCGAGTATTTAGCGATTGAATTTTGGGCCTAGCCTCGATCATCATTACTAAAGTCGGTAGAATAAAAAACATAGTCTCGATTATCCATTGTTTGATTTAATCAGAAGCAGCAGATCGGGTTCTAATCCAGTAAATATCACAGGCTAGCGATCCCATCGAGAATTGATTATGGTCTGGAAAAGTTAATTGAGGTAAACATACAGTATGCAAGAGCTAAATCTGCCTATTGCAGGTCTTTCTTTAGGCCTGAAATATTTTCTAAATTATTAATTAGACATTAATTAACATATCCAGGCCATAATCAACTCTCGATGGCATCGGATTTCTCCGAGCTTCGAACAAACAGTACGGTGGTTAAAATTATACAACACGTCCTGTCAAACCTTCAAAGGCTAATATAGAGTAATTTGAATGAAATTTTCAAATTATTCATTTTACATAATCTTATCTAAATCTTACATAATGTATCTTTAATTAAATGTTAAATAATCAATATGAGCATATTTCGGGACTGATAGGCTACAGTGGTTTTTTTTATTATTTCAATAATTCACTTGTGCGCTGGAGTTTTTAGCAGTGGGTAGTGCGGAAGACACCGTAGGCACTTAACAAAACCCATAAGGTTGCGCTGGTAGCCCTCTATACTAACTGTCGAAACCACGCCACTTGACTCAATCACAATTCTTATTAGGCTTATCTAAAGCGCCAATCCCAATTGCAGATATGTACACAGCCTTTCGCTCATCTTATTATTATATTATTCAGATTGATTTGGTTATATAGTCTTTTTGTATATATTTTCTGCAATATAGGAGAGAGGTAATATAGGCCTAGTTTGTTCCTCAATCCTTTTCTGAGAATAAAATATTGTTTATAAAAAAAAACAAACAGGGAAGGATTAAGATATCAGCCGGCGGAGGCGTCTCAGTCAGAAGGGCCCCTGTAAATATGGGCGGGGCCGTGCGGGGCGGGGGGGGGGGGGGCGACCACGGAAAAGTTTGAAAATTACATCGTTGTAGATGAGGTTCAGGATAATTTCCTGTTAGTTCAGCTACAAACTGGAACCGAAGATTTCGTGGACCAAATATGACTAAAAACAAAATGAGATTGGCGGGACTAATGAAGATGCGCATACGCCATGTCTTGGGGGGGGGGGGGGCATACCAGGTTTTCACCCCGGATTCGGTTGGTTCTTTCAGTTGTATTTTTAGAGATTTTCTAAATAATTTCAGGTAGGAAGCTGCCGCCTCCACGTCTTCAATAAAACTGTCGTGATTATTTTAATGTGTTTAATTACTTAATGCCGCTAAAATAGCACAACAATGTCATTTTGGGAAAAACATCGGGGTTTGGAAATTCGTATAGGAAAAAAGACCATTAATTAATGTCTGAATATGTTGTTAATTTTGAGTTTGACAACGAAAACAACATTCATTACGAGGGAGAACAATAATTGAAGCGTTGCGCATGCCATAGCAGATCCATGTGCAATGTCAGCTTGAATGTGACTGTGTCAGTTTGTTACGTCATTGGGTGTAGTATTACGTCAGAAGACGAGCACGTAACTGGGCCTTTCAAGGTTGTATGAGTATTACAGGCTGAGAACAAACTATAAAGGGATGTACGTATGCCATCATAGAAAGTTACGGTCGTCATACGTCACAATAATAACCCGTCTTGTCATTATCGTACATAATATTCACACCAGGTCTCACTACAGGCGCCATGTTATATCTTTCTTATTTCATGGCAGCGATGTATATGAAATATTTCTGTGTACATGGGACCCTGGGGGTATTGGCGATCAAAAGCTTGCTAAATCCCTTCAGGCGGGACAAGCCGTAAATTAAGAATAATAATTAACTATTTAGTATTAATAAAGAAATGGGGTTTAACGTCTTTTGTACTGCACCGGCAGGGCTAATGAAGACGGACATATTGTTAAATTTTGCAAGGACAGCGGCACTGCGGCCTATCGACGGAGGGGATCCCGGTAGCTAAGTGGGTAAGACGCTGGCTCGCTAGCCTGGAGGTCGGGTGTTCGATCCCTGCATTGGCCGAGAAAGTTCATCCAGATCTTCCGGCGTGGTTCTCCCTTGTCAGTGATGCAGGACGGAGGGGCTGACAAAGAAAGCTGTCTAGTCGTTCGGATGGGACGAAAAACCGAGGTGCCATGTACACATTGGCGTGCACGTAAAAAATCCCTTGACAGTTGGAATTCGATATAAGAGTAGGCCGTAGTGACGCTGTCCGGGCAAAAGTTCCCTCACAGCACACTCTATGGCGTATGTCCGTCTTCATGAGCAAAACAGTAGGACGTTAAACCCCATTTCATTTTCATATCGACGACGGAGCCGCGATGTCTCAGTGAGAAAAGGCATTAGTTCGCTAACCTGGATGGTCCCGTGTTCAATCTCGGTGTTGGTCGAGAAAGTACATCTGGATTTTCCGGCGTGGTTCCTCTTTGTCAGTGTTGAGGGACAGAGAGCATGACAATGGAAAACATTTGTCGCTTGGATGGAACGAAAAACCGAAGTCCCGCATAAACATTGGCGTGCATGTAAACAACCCACTGGATGTTCGAATACCATATAAGAGTAGGCCGTAGCGCCTCTGTCCAGGCATAAGTTCCGTCATGGCACACCGTATGCTCGTCTTCAGTAGGACGTCAAACCCCATTTCAGAGCGTGTCCGCGAGAGCGCCATGCAGATGGTGATAAGTCTTGGGCCAATTTTTTTCTGTGAGTTGGGTTAGAACCCAGATACATCCCCACAAAATATTAGGTTGATCCAGTTGATACCAATTTTGCAAATTGGAAAAATATTTTTTTAATAGAAAAATATTCAAAAAATGGGCTAATTTGGAATTAACCTTGGATGATCTGTTATTCGGACAATAATTGATTTGGACAGACGATATTGTGGGTTTTAGTAGGACCACCCTGGCTCCTCCTACACACAGAGGTTTAAGTTTCTACTGCCAATGATATCTTGGTACTCGCCAGATACTCAACGCTATCTGAAAATTGAATTTAATGAAAACCAAACTTTGAGAGGCTATAGTTCGTTCTTGGCAGGGACTAGGACCAAAGTTGAATGTTACCCACAACTAGCAACTTTCCTACTAACAAAATAAAAAATAAAAATGACAGGCACAGGCATAATAAAAAAAAGAGAAATAAATTAAAAAATCAAAAAATTGGGATAAAATGTTCCGTTTATCAATACCCCAGATGAAGAATACGTATGGACATTTTACAAATTTAATATATTCTATTTAATCATTAACAAGGATGATTTAGACTTGAGAGGGAGAAAAACGAAATAGGTTTAACGTCCACTGGACACAAA